AGCAGGTACGACCGAAAAATGGAAGCAAGCGCGAAACGGGGAACCCCGCGCGACAGATTACCTTGCGCCAACTTCTTTCACTCGTGTGTACAGTTACGGTTAGACTTAGACTGTATCAAGGCAGTTCCATCAGCATCACAATTGCCTAACGTTTTTATGACTTGCACCAAAACACGTACACACAATCTCACACCGACGCACACACACACTCAAACGAGCGCGAAGGAATGCAGACAGGCGACGGACGTAGACGCGTGCGACCGAATGACTCACTAGGCCCCACGCGTCCCCGCGGTGGCAGTGTGCCTCTCGAGCCTTCCCCTTCCTAGGTAGGGTGTATCCGCCCAGCGTCACTCTGTCTCTCTCGCTCTCATAAGGCGTCCCGTTGAGGTGCGAGAGAGACAGAGCCACGGGACCACAAGGATCTTCTCTAGCCGCGGCGTGATCGGAGTTTGGATTGAGGAAGGGGGAGGGGGCGTGGCCACACTGTAACATAAGAGTGGCTTTGGGGATGGCCCCCTTGCGCACGGACTTTGTCCCCTTGACTCGCCGCGTTAGAAAAACGAGGTGCTTTCCGAAAAGCGGCAGCCAATCCCGTCGCGAGACGTGGTCTCATAGGCCCGCGAGTTTTTGCATTGCAGAAATCTTTTTTTTCGGTCATGGTTTTGTTATGTGATGTTTCAAGCACCGCATTCCGGCATAGTAGATTGCACCGCCACTATCTGCGATAAAACCGCTCCGCTTTGTGATAGGCACTCCTCGCTTTCTATCATCTCCTGCCTCTCTGTCTCTCTTGAAATTCTGAAATTCGCTAGGAACAACACCTAGATGCGTTCCTGAGGACCTCCTAGAGCCTGTCACCCCAGCGGGGCGGCTCTGCGGGGGGTGCCGCCGGCCGTCGCGTGCCCTTGGCATTTTTGGCGTGCCTTTCGCGCAGGCCCCGCCGAAGCCCGCCGCCCTGGAGCCTCGCCTGGAGCCCAAAGGCACCTGGAGGAACAACAAAACGACGTCCACTCCACCAGGTCGCATTCCAGCGCGCTGTCTGGGCCGCGTCTCGCGCCTTGTGCAGGCGGGAGAGAATATTTGACTTGATTTTACACCATGGTCGCCGCCCTATTGACTAACTACCCGAATAGGCACTGTTATGTCGAAAAATTAGTCAATTTTTTTTTATCTTAGAAATGTCGGGTAGAAAGAACGAGAGACGGAATCGGCAGTAGTGGCGCGCCAAGGCGAGCCAAGGGCAGTAATGTGGCAGAATCACATTCCTCGTGAGGGAGGATGGAATGTGTGGGGAGGGGAGCCATACCGTGCAGGAGGGGGGTGGGCCTGGTGGACCGCCGGGGCGAGGGCGGGGGTGGGGGACGCACCAGGGGAGGGTGCATGCAGACTCCAGCAGACTCCAGCGAGAGGGGAAAGGGGTAGCCGCATTCCTGGGCTGGTCCTTCGCGACCTGCTTCGAGTGCTCGGGCGGCATTTCGCTCCAATGGTTTGGTCACTTTGTCCTGGACTCCCGCGCCCGCCGGACCTGGACCTGCGCAGTGCTGCCGCGAGCCTTGCCTCTCCAGCACCCCATGGACCGCACCCCGCCGGCGACAGCCTTGCAGGAGCGCGCTCTGCCACCGCCCTGACCACGACGCTCGTCTCGTTGCAGGAATGCCACGGCCAGGACGCTGAGCACGCCGTCGACGACATGCTGCCCCCATCGGCCGGCGGCGACCACGGCGGCGGCGCCGGAGGCGGCGGGGCGGACTGCGGCGGCGGCAGCGACGGCGAGACGGCGGACGACGCCGTGGTCGTGGTGCGCGGCGGCCGGCACCTGCCGCGGGCCGAGCGCTCCGCCAAGTCGCTGTCCCTGCCCGCGCTGAACGCCACCACGGCCAGCATCGCCTCCGCCAGGAGCGACCGCCGCGCGACCAACAGGTGGGTGCAGCGTCAAAGTCGCGTTCCAGGTACAGTAGTCCGTGAGGCTGGCATTGAAAGCCTGCAGCCGCCATGGCGGCTCGATTCTTCGGCCGGTGATACTGCGCGGCCGAGGCGGGTCGCTGAACGCGCTGAGCGCGCTGAACGGCCAGAAAGCCTGATTGCCTTGTCTTCGAGGCGTGGACTCGGACTCTGCCGCGCGGCGGCCTCATGGCACCGCGGCACCGCGACCGGGATGGCGCCGATCACCTTCCCGCGCGCGGCGTCGCCGGGGCGGGCAGGCGGCCGGGGGGTGTTCCGCGATTTTTCCCTGAGTCACTCTCTTGGCGACCGATCCTGGTCCTGCCAGTGTGGTGGTGTTGGTACACACACACGCGCGCTCAACCCGTTGACAAGGACGGCCGCGAGCCGCGAGGGCGGGGCAGGCGGCGGAAGCCGGCGGAAGCGGTCCCGCGAACCCGAAAATCGCGAAAGCCTCGGCGTGAACCGAGTTCAATTCGCGAGCCGGAAGTCGTCCCTTGCCGGCAAAACGGCTTCCGAGTACTACAATGCGGCCCCGCCCCGCCGCACGTGGACGGCGCGTGGAGTTACGGCGAGCGACAAGCCGGGAGAGAAGCGCGTTGACCTGGCGCCGCGCCCGGCCCGGGAGGCTTAGGCTTTCGATGAAGCGCGGCGCGGGGCGGGGCGGCGGACGCTAGCGCCTTCCGTTACTTCGTCTCTGTCGCACCCCGCGCCCCGTGCGAGTACGACAGGGACAGGGTGACGTAGCCGCGTAGCCGCGAGAGTGGCAATCGGACCGACGCAACCGGCTTACCAGGCACTTAGCGCGTGCGCTGCAGGTGCAAAGGCAGAGCCGCCGCCGTGTGCTGCTTTCGGCGAGCCCGCCGAGCCCTTGGAGGCCCTCAGGGCGCCGGCCAGGTAGCCTTCCTGCAGTGGTCTGCCCTGGACGCCTGCCAGCGGGTATCCCGGGGCGTGAGCGTGAGCCGGCCGGGGCGGCGCGCTGAGCAGGCCCAGCAGGCCGGGCGTCGGATGTCCTCCCGGGTCCCGTCGCGGGGCCGTGCCAGGCCGTGCCGGCGCGGGGTATCCCGCTGAGGTGGAAAAGTCCTCCGCCGCACGCAGCGCGCAGCGCCATAATCAACCGGCACACGCGTTTGAATTGGCCCGCCGTCCGCGTCTACAGAGGCCGCCGGAAACGGACTTGCATCAATCGTGTACTATCGCGATTACTGCAAGCGAAGCGTCGGTACTCGGTGTCTGCACTGCTGCCGATGTTCGCTCCCGAAAACGGGATTCAATGTCCGATCACGTGTCCTCGGCGTGGGCAGCGCGGCGATAGGCACCGATCCCCGCCCCGCCCCGCCCCGCCCCGGAAGGCCCCGTGGAAGGTGGCGCGGCGCGGCCGTGCAAGTCTGGGCCTGTGCTGCTGGCCCTGGCTCTGCTGGCTGGCCTGTGTATACTATCTCGAGGGAAGCGCAAAGAGCACCCGGCTGTACTGCCTCCATCATCTTGTCACGTCGAGCGGAGCTGTCTCTCTCGCTCCCCCACGGGTCGCTCCGTGAGTGCGAGAGAGACAGAGCGACGAAAGCACTGTTCGGCCGGGGTCACTACTCCACGAGTGGCCGGTGCTGCTGGCGCACCTACGGGCAAGCCGTGGCAGGGCAGGCTCGGCTCGGCTCGGCAAGCCTAGGGCCGGCGACCGGCCAACCGGCACCTCCCGCCTTTGTTGTTTGGATGTTGCCAGCACTGTACATTCTGCCGCTCCATGCGAGAGGCGGACTGAGGCGGACGGGACGGGATTGAAAGCCCCACAGTTGGCGGCACTGCGTTCGCTCGCCTCCTGTTTGGAACGGAACAAACTGTGACCGCGAAGCACCGCGAAGCCCGGTGCAAGTACGTCACCGGGGCATGGGTAGGGTAACGTGAGCGGCCGCCTCTCGTGCCGTCGCCAAGTGCATTGCACTCCCCCCCCCTCCCTCTCTCTTTCTCCCGTCCAGTCGCCGGGAGCGCGATTGGGCCGCGGGGGGCAGCAGAGGCAGCGAACCGTGAGGAGAGAGGGGGGACGCCTTAGGCTGCCTTAGGCCCGCACCTGCGTCTTGGATTCCTCACGGAGCACCTGCCAGCTGCGCGACGCCACGCGGCGCCGCAGAAGCCCTTCTTGCTCTGTCTCTCTCCAACGGAAAGGAACACAAACACGCATAGTAGATGAGGAGCTGGTGCACTGTGTGTCTCGTCTCGTCTCGGATTTAGGCCAAGCCGGCCACCTGACTCGCGCCGAACTTTCCCGATTTTCTTCCCCGCTTCGCGACGGCCCCGCGGAAAGTAAATTCCATTATCACCGCAGCAGCGTGCGCGGCCCATCAGGATGCGCCCGGCTCGGCTCGGCCCGTGCGTCCGATGCCCCGGCCGGCTCGGCTGCGCCCTCCGCGCCTCTGCTCGGCTCGTCACGGTCCGCGCGCCGACACGGAGTCACGGACCGCTGGGCTCGGGGCGGGCCTGCTTTGCCATCTGCAGCGCCGCAGCAGCAGAGGCGATCCACCTCGCGGCTCGCACCGCGCTGGAGGCCGCGAAGTACGCCCTCGCTGCAGTACGCGCCCGCAGAACTGCACTCGTCGAACAGTCGGAAGGCTTGGGACTTCCCTGCCGACTGGAGCGCGCTGGAGCGCGGGGGCCCTCCGTGGGGCGGCCCCCGGCGCCGGAATTCCCTCGCGGGGCATCGATCGCGTGACCTTGACGACGATGCGAAGCTGACCCCTGATCCCCAAAACAAATGGCTTAGCTTCCGGCAGAAAAATGCTTTCGGGCCGCGGAAAAGAGGAAAAAGGATTTGGCGGGAAAATGCTCTCGGTCTGAATTTTAATTATAATTTTTCTCGCGCGGTCCGGCCTGCGGCTTGCGGTACGTGTACGTGGTCCTCACTTTGCCGCTTACGCCACTCCGCTGCTCCGCGGGGCTCGGCCCCTCGCCGTCCGCTCGCCGCTCCGTGGCCGCCTGCCCCGCCTACCTGTGCGGCCAGCTCGGTCTGTCTGCCTGTCGGCCCCCGTGCCGCGCCGCGCCGTCCCGTCCCGTTGTCAGTCCAGGATCGCTGTTGGCGGATCGCGGTTCGGTTCGCTGTGGCGCGTTTGTGTTCGAGATGCGCAAGTTCGTCGTCGCGCTGGTGTCCTTGTGCAAGTTGCTGGAGTGCGAGTGCCGTGGATAGTGCTTCTGAGCGCCCAGTGGACTAGCAGCCGCCCGAGCAGCGGCTCCAGAGGCGCCCGCTGCCTGGAGCTGGAAAGCTGTACGCTGGAGCTACGCCTGCTACGCCGCCACTGTGACATACTTTCCAACGCCCGCGCGAGGCGCCGCGCACCGCGCGTTTTTCCGCCGGCATTTTCCAGTGCCCTCTCCCTCCATCTGGCGCCGCAGCTTTCCACAGCTTTCCGCGGCGTGGCGTTCGCACGTGCGTGTGCGTGGGTGTGCGTGATTAGATAGTGTAGCAGCATGGAGTAGCTGCCGTGCCGCCGCGCTCCGCTCCACGCACGCGTGCTGCGTAGAGAGTCCGGTGTCCGGAGAGGCCGCTCCGCGCTCCGCCCACGCCACTGCCAAGATGCTGCTGCCCAAGACGACGCCCGGATCCAAGCAGGCGCCCGCGCTCCCGCCCAAGGACGCGGTTATCACCGTCAGGTACACTGTCAAGGATTGCGTCACCCAATGAAACGGTGAGCGGTGTCCGCCCCGCGCTCCGTTTCGGCGCCGAAAAGGAAAATCACAATATTTACCTCTGCGGCTCGGCCGTGCGGCGTCGCCCCTCCCTCTCTCTCTCTCGCTCTCGGAGCCCCGGGTGGAGGCCTACCGTCGTGGCCAGGGCCGCCTGGCCGCCGTGAACCGTGAAGCCCACGATAAGCGCGCATTCTTGCACTGCACTGCCATGCAACAGTGAAGGGGAAATTTTCCACTCGCGCTGGTCAACGTTTCCGCACCCCATTCATTGTGAGGGGAGTCGGCGGGAAGGACAAGGGCCTGGTCAAGGACCCTCAGGACGTCCAAGTCCTTCTAACTTTCCCCACCCCCGCGGGGGCCTCAGGAAGGTGATTCGTTTGTTTCTGTTGGCCCTGGCCAGTGCCGCCCTGGCTCGAACACAGAAACAGCCAAACAGGTACCTTACGACAGAAGGACCAAGCGGGACCCCCACCCCGACATTCCCCGTTTCCGACTTGGAACCTGGCCTGCTTCTCTTTCAACTCTTTCATTCAGCGGCACCGCGGCCGCGTGTCATCGGGGCGCCAGGCGTCCACAGGCGCCACACCGCCCGTCTCTCTCGCACTCGCGGCGCGTCCCTGGCTTCCGCGGGGGCGAGAGAGAGACAGAGCGACGGGGGAACACTGCCAACAGGGCCGCGGGCGGCCGCGGGCCATAACGAGGGCTAGCGGCTCTTTCTGCGAAGCCGCGAAGCGCGAAGCTGTGACATGAACGAGTGGAGCGCGGGAATGCGATGCGCTGTCTCTCTCGCACCGGGGCGTCCTGTACGGGTGTGAGAGAGACGGAGCGAGAAAACACTGTCCGCGGGATGGCCCTGTTAGGCTGGCATGCCAGCCGGGGCCCGGGCCGGGGGTGACCGGCAACCGGCATAGGGCCCAGGGCATTCCTCTTCCCTTCCCTCTGCCGGTGCCAGCATGTTGCCCAGCATGTTGCCAGCAGATTTCCCAGAAGAATGCCTGCCGTTCGGCGAGCCGCGACTCCGAGAGCCACGGCCCCTTACCCTTGTGTTGCTGCCCTTCCTGTCGTAGCTTACTACGCCCCACTTCGGGTCGCAGCTGTTGGGGGCCGCGGGGGCGCGGGGGAAGGGGGCGGCAAGGTGGAGGCGCCGGCCTTGCATGGGGGGCGGTAAGAGTGGCGCTTCAGTCCCCGAGGCCCGGCCGATCGGGAGAGCAGCGCGCCGTCGCGGCCGTGCGTCCTGGAGGGAAGACGCGAAGCTCCCCGCCAGCCACCCATTTTCGGAAAAAGTCAGTTTGTCTCTCGAGTACAAAGTGTATTGCAGTGCAAGTGCGGCCCGCCGGCGGCCCCCACCGCGCTCCGCCCCGCCCCGCCCCGCCCCGCCGCGCGGCCACCGCGACTGCCGATGATAACAAACACGGCCTGCTTTGACGTCACGGCGATCACGCTGCGCTACGCTTGCTGCGCCGCGCCGCGGCTTTGGCTTTGGCAAAGGACTTGAGCTGGCACTGCTGCAGCGCGCAGGCCGCCCAGGTCGGTCAGCCTGTCAGCCTGGCCCGGTCGAAGCCCCCTGCTGTTGCTGTAGGTCGAGATCCTGAAGGACGGGCTGCGCGCGGTTCGCCGCCCTGCAGAGTAAGTTCGACTGACTCGAGAGCTTATTGAACTTGGACGTGAGTCTGGGTGCCACCTGCCGTGCCAGTGCCGTGCCAGGTCTAGAATGATCGAAAGCTGCTCTCTGATCCATAATCTCATCTAATCGGCGCGGCTCGCAATGACTCACTCCGTGTCCTAGGTCTGGTCTGGCCCGGTCCAGTCCCCGAACCTGAAAGTGGTGTCCTGCTTTGGCCGCGTTGCCTCGTTACGACATATCGAACCCGAACGATTCCTACCCGCTGCTACTACACTTTGCGGCGGGGCGGCTATCTTGTCTCCGCTTGTGTTGGCCGGCTCGTGCCGGGCGGGGCGGGGCGGGGTGGGGCGTTGCGGCGACCAGGGGCAGGAGGAGGGGAGGGGCCTAACGACAGATGGCGTGGCGCGGCTTGGCTCGCAGCCTGCTGAGCCTGCTCGACTCGTCCGACGCGCGCGGGCGAGCGGCAAGCGAGGCACGTCAAGTGCCTGCAGAGTCGTTGTTGGTGTTGGTCGTCCCCGTCGCCTCGCCGCCGTCGCCGGCCCCGCCAGTCGGTCCGCTGCCGCCGCGGTTCGCTCCTCAGCGTCGCGTCCTCGCGTCGTCGGCCGTCGCGTCCGTCGGTGTAGGCGTCGCAGGGGCGTCAGCGCGTCACGCCGAGGACCGCCGCGCTTCGCCGTCGAACTTGAGTCCCCGGGGCTTCGGTCGAAGACTCGGTCGAAGATCACCGCGTCCCGGAACCGAGTTTACCCACTGCGCCTGCCAGTCCGCGGCCTGCGGCCCGCGGCCGCTCCCCTCGCGAGCGTGCCACCTGTGCTCGCTGTGCTCGCCATACAGTGCCTTGCCGAGCCGGCGGCCTGGTCGGCCTGTCGGGCGGGGCCCCCGAGGGGGCGCAGAGTCCAGGGCGACGCCGCGACGCCGCACACCATGCCCGTCTAGAGGGCCTGGAGCACGCCGAGGCGGTCGTTGGGTTCACGGTGTCGGCCGCGACCAGCTGGACGCCAGGGAAAGATGAAGATCAAAATGCCGTGAGTGTCCACCCGCAGGGTGAAGATGAACGAGCAAACTTGCGTTGCGCTCTGCGGTCCCTTTCTTTCTCTCACTACACGTTGGGCTAAATTATTGCAGTGTTAGGGAAGTCCCGCACCTTGTTCTCAACGGCGCGGGTCTGGACCGGCGGCAGGTTGGCTGTGAACAAATAGCAAATACAAAATGATTAATTTTCTTCTTTTCTTTTTTTCTGTTTTAGCATGCTGTGTATCCAGGAGGAGTTCGGGCAGCTGGCCATCCACCCCTCCGCCAAGTTGGGCCTGGACCTGGAACGGGGACCCGATCCCTCAGACCTGTACGGCTATTATGAGCGGGAAGAGAACCTGGCTGTGGCCGTGGTGAACGGGGCTCTGAAGGAGCAGCAGGGGCAGGCCCAGGACTCCAGCAGCCCCGAGGACACCATCCCCCACTGCGCCCCCATGATGGGGCCGGTCCGCGGTGGCTGGATGGACGGCATCCTGGGCTGTCTCCGTCCTGTTTGGACCATGATTGGCAAGGCGGGGCACAACGAAATGAAGGCTAATCAAGGTATGTGCACTGGGTATGGGTCCCCAAAGCTGTAAGGTCAGTCTGTTTCATTGTTTTATATTCATGTTGTTTATTTTACTTTATTGTCTTTGCAGCTGATGACTGGGAAATTCCATTTGAATGGATTAGTGATCTCCAGTGGCTAGGGTCTGGTGCCCAGGGAGCTGTGTTTAAGGGCAACCTGAAGAATGAAGTAATTGCAGTGAAAAAAGTTCGAGAGCAAAAGGAGACAGATATTCGTCACCTTCGGAAACTTAATCACCGCAACATTGTGCAATTCAAGTGCGTAACAACAACTCAAACTAAAAAGCGAACATTTTTAATAGCAACAGTTTGCATAATTCCTGTCAATTATATTTTTACAGAGGTGTGTGCACTCAAGCACCTTGTTACTGCATTATTATGGAATTTTGTCCATATGGACCTCTGTATGACTTGTTGAAAAAGGGAGAAAAAATTCCCCCTACTAGACTTGTTAGTTGGTCTAAACAAATAGCAGCAGGAATGCACTATCTCCACCAACATAAGATCATTCACAGGGATCTGAAGAGTCCTAAGTAAGTTTCTTTCTTTTTATTAATACAATTCTTTTTAAATCTCAAATTATATTGTGATTTGCATGTCAACCTGTTGCTAATTTTTCATTTCTGTTCTTTCAAGTGTCCTTATTGGCCAAGATGAACTTGTGAAAATCAGTGACTTTGGAACAAGTCGTGAATGGAATGAGAAGAGCACGAAAATGAGTTTTGCTGGTACAGTCCAGTGGATGGCACCAGAGATTATTCGTAATGAGCCATGCTCTGAAAAAGTAGACATTTGGTATGTATTATTTTGAGTGACAAAATATTTTTTGTTAATTTGAGGCCTAGCAGTTTTAAATAATCTGGTATATGTTTCCTTTAGGTCGTTTGGAGTTGTATTATGGGAACTACTAACATGTGAAACTCCGTACCGAGATGTGGATTCCTCTGCTGTGATTTGGGGAGTTGGAAGTGCTTCACTGCACCTTCCCATCCCAACAACATGTCCTAGTGGATTCCGACTGTTGGTAAAGCAGTGTTGGGCAGCAAAACCACGAAATAGGCCATCTTTTAAGCACATTCTTCTTCATTTGGAAATTGCATCCATTGAAGTTCTTTGCACACCAGCTCAGGAGTATTTCAATACTCAGGTAAAACATTTGCGACTTACTTTTCCCCTTGTGTGTATGTTAAAGAATATTAAATAATTGTTTTTAAAATTTCAAACAGGCTACATGGAAGGAAGAGGTCAGAGAACACATGTCTGTAATGAAGTCAGCAAATAACAAACGCCCCATACTGGAGACAGAACTGATTGCAAAACGAGAAGAGGAGCTGAGGCATGCTCAGGATATTCGCCAACATTATGAGCGTAAACTAGAGAAGGTGAACTCTCTTTGTACAGAGCTTCGTGTCTACATGAATCAGCTTGAACAGCGTGAGAGAGATCTATCAAAGTAAGCCAATCCATCAAAATTATTAAATTTACAAGTTTAATCTAACAAACTTCATTTAAAAGTAACTTTATAGCCTACCCTTCAATGACAATTTTTATTGTTTAGGCGAGAGAAAAGCTGCCCTCCGCACAAGAGTGCTCGCAACAAGAGGAGTGTTCGTCCACTATTTTGCAAAGCCACTGAAAGATTCAGGCAACTTCCATCAAAAGAAACAAGTCCAACATCACCAGGGTTGTCTGCAATATCACCAACTCCATACAATTCATCTTGGGAAATTCAAGAGGTATGCTGAATAAAACAATTTATTTCTCAATTTGAAACTATTTAAGACAAGGAACTCATATAATTTTGAAATTTCCCTGCAGGATGTGAAGAAGGCTCCCACGTGCATTCAGTTGAACTCCGCAGCTCAACCTGAATGTTATGCATCCAGTGGCCTACCAGCATTAGGAGCAGAGAGAGTAGCAAGAATACGTAAAGTGCGGCACAGACGGTCTTCATCCAGTCAATCAAGCCCTGTCAAGGAAAGAAAGGTAGAACGTTTTTTTCTACCTGTACAAATTATTTTTGTATGGGTTGTTGTTTTTCTAATCCCATACATATTTTTCTATAATTGTTTCAGTTTCATTTTAAATTTGTCTTTTTCTTTTCAGAACCTCACTGTATCTCCCAATGGCAATGCAGAAATACCTCCTGTGGCAAGTCAGGCCATGGAGATAAGCGAATCGGATTCAAGCCCTGTGTGCTCCCCACAAGCCCCCATCCCACGAGTATCTTTCCCAGCATCTCCTGCAAAGAGCTCAGTTGCAAGCAATAACTCCAGTGCCGAAGGACTTAGCTGTGGAGTTGTTAATCCTCTCTATGAGTTGGACATAATCAGGGCCCCATTGGAGCGTTGTCTAAGGTCCTCACAAAGTGAAGATGATGTTTGTGGACCTCGCTTACCTGGTCGACCTGTCCAATTACTTCTTCGAACACAATCTCCTAGAAGTGGAAGAAGTAGAGAGGAAAGAGTTGGTCGCTGTTCAGATGAAAGTTTGAATGGAAATTCTTGCTACACATGTAAAAGCACAGAACAAGCATCAGATGTAAGCAAATATTTAATTTCTGAAATCATGTTTGAAAGTTCTGTCAAACATTCTGGTAATTTATATTTTTTGTCTGTAACAGGATGATTTTGAAGTAAATCGTAATGAGCAGCTGACTGTTAGAGACTGCAGTGATGATGATCAACTAGAAACCCTCAGCAGACGTGTTAGTGAAACACTTAACGGAAACAGAACATCAACTTGTGTCTCAGAGAATGGGAACACTGAAGTTGATTCTGGACGCAGCACAATTAATTTAGGATGTGCATCTGGACAGTCTTCAAGAAGGTCAACATGTACTGGCCTCCCTGTGAGTTCAGGCCTGGAAGAGGGCTGGACAGATGATGAGCAAGAGGGAGACAGTGATGGAGCAACCTTTTCTCTGAGAAGAAAGAGGTATGTTTGATAATCCAAAAAATTTTCCACTAAAATGTTTCTTAAAAAAAGTGTGATAATATATTTATAAATTTATTCGTAACATTTTAGCTTGGCCAGAAGACCCATTGGTCCAGGATGTCGTCGGAGGCCAGTAAAACCTTTCCTACATTCAGCTCAATTGAATCAGTTATCAGATGAAGGGAATACATCTGATCGCAGTAACCTTCCATCAAGCCGGGGATCTACTTTAGAGAGCAATCCAGACCGTTGTCTTAGATTATCTATGAGGTCTAGAAAGGTGGGTTTTACTTAACTGTTTGCTTTTTAAAAAAATATAATATCCGTTGTTATAACATATGTTTTTATCTTTTTAGAATTCAAATATCAGGAATGGATCAGATGGGAGCTCAAGATCCACATCAGGATCAGAATCTGAAGAGGAAGCAGAAGAAATATCAGTGCGTACAGTAGAATCACAAATTCAATCTGTTTCCTCAAATCCTATAGTATAGATCTCATTTCTTTTTAAATGCTCATTATTAGCCAGTATTGTGTTCTTGTCACAAGACAAGCTTGATTTGTCTTAGACAAACCCTGTATAGTTCAACCAAGTATGTGCATTATCTCAGCTTTGATTTTGTGAGATGTTTTGTACTGAAACTAGTTATAGCTTTATGATGGACTTTTTCATTGTGGCATTGGTGCAGTCACCTAGAATTTTCATTACTCACATGGGAAGCCCCATGAACACCAAAATTATGTCATTTTTATGTCGATGAGCATGTGGTTTTAGAGGGTTTTTGAAGGGAAAAAAGGAGCGTCATTTTGACTGTCACCGTGACCAATTTGTGACTTTATTTGGAGGTAATTGAGCTTTAATTTTGTATTTGTATTGTAGTTTGGAGTCAAAATTGAGCAAAAATTGGTGTCTTCCCTTGCCATATTTAAAATTCTATCTGCCTAATCTTGTGATTGATTGATTGTATTGCATAAGACCAAGTGGGGCCCATCCACTAGTTATATAATAAATTTGAGGTATAGCTTTCAGATCAAAGACTCTTTTATTATGGGGGAGGTTCTGTAATTCCTAGTTTACTAAAGAATTCAAAGTAATCTCATACACTACAAGTTTTAAAGGAACCTCAATCTCCTCAAATCTCTTACATAATATTTGGATGGCTCCTCGAGTGCAATATTGTTGGTAGTTAAACTGATTTTGTTTTGTTATTTGTTATTAAAATTTAACTGTTGTCAAAGAGTGTAAATTTCCTCACATTATTGGCTGTTTCAGTTTGGAATGCATTCGAAAAATATTTGTATGTGCCATTGTGATTACGTACTCAAGTTGGTTGTACATGAAATGCTGTGGAATGTGTGATCTTACACAGTCCATGTTTCTTTGATATTATGTTTTCTTAATGTTTTACGATGCTTTAGAAATCAGTCTCTGTACAGTGCAGATACTATCAAAAGGAGCGAAAAAATGAATTGTTGCTCTTGCTGTCCAAGTAAATTAATGCCATGAGTTGATTACTGGTGCTCAGCCTTGCTAAGCACTAACATACTACATCACTTCAATTATTTATTAGTTTCATACATGTTGTGCCTTGATAGTCTGTTATCCTTTATGTGTATGATTCACCTTGGCAGTTATGATAATAAAATAACTGTCAAAACTGAGAAAAACTAGCTTTATTTGACCAAAGCGCCGGAAAGGTAGGCAACCCATCATGGTCGTCACCAGTAATTCGGGCTTTGCAATGATGAATGGGACAAAGGTTGTGAACAATGAGAGACAAGAATCAAAATGTGCAGACTAGATTTTATTTCGTTTCAAAAGGCTTGACAAAGCAAAAATTGCTTCTTGCCACAACCGTCTTGATGGAATGACCAGACATAATATCACATCAGGTTTCTTACACGATAAGTGAAATTTAAAGAAAAGTGTGGAGGGACACCACACGAAGAGAGACACAAAGAGATAAGGGAAGCCCACAGGGCAAAAACCACAAAAAAGAAGAAAATACATTTCAAAACCACAAAACTTAGAGTGTTAGCCTTCATCTAGATCATTTTTTAAGTCTTATTTCCTAACACAAGATCACAAACAGAAAAAAAATACTAACAGATAAAAACAAAAAATAAATAAATAACTTAAGTTTCAGAACAAAATATCAATTATAATAAATCTTAATTACTTAAATATCTCAAATACTGAATCAGCCTACATGAAATGAAGCAGGAGGAAAAAAAAATCAGGCAATCCGTGGTAGTATTTGCCCAGGTTGAACTATTCTCAGGTATTCTTGAACACGTCTGGCATAATTGGGCAGAAAGTTCCACCACTCATTGGCATTTTAAAAACTTAAGAATCTAGGAGTTATATGTCTTTCAGTCTGAAAGGGCAGTCTACAGAAATAAAGAAATCAAGCCTTTGCCATGCCTGATTATGAAGAATACTTAATTAACAAGTCAATAGACAAGAAGTGACTAGAGTGATGATTTTAAAGCTAGAAAGTATGGGCATTGCGGCACACACCACAACCCAGGGCAAACTCTTCTCCAGTTGGAGGGTGCTTCACATGAAGAGGACATTCATCGCCATCCAGCTGCTTGGCTTTGGGACCTAGTGACAGAACAAAAGTTTGCACTTCTAATAACACAAGATAATGCTAGAATCTGATTAAATTTGTCAAGTGACTTTACCTGCAGGACAGGTGGGCAAATCAGTCTTGGGGATGTTAGTGACACGTTGAAAGTCATCATGACAAGGATTGCAGAAGTGAGTTGATCCAAAGCAGAAGAAAACCGCTACAGAACAACAATATCGGCACTTATACTCTAGAAAGTCAGTGCCATGTTTGGGACACATTTGAGCACTTGTGACATCGCTGCAGCCTCCACAAACCAATTCGGTTGGATCATATTGTTCACCCATCTCAGCATCACATCGGGCTTCACCACCATAATAAGCCTGAAAAGGTAAGTTTAGGTAAAATAATGTGAATTCTCTTCAGTAACCTTCAGTCACAAATTTTTGTAAATCAACTGTGTACCTTGTTACATTTGTAGCAGACGTAATAGGCATAGCGGTCCATAGCATAAGCCGCTGGGTCATTATAAAATCGTGCTCCAGGAGTTGTGATGGCCTCAGTCTGGTGCAAGCCTTCATACTCAAGTCTCATCAGAGCTTTTCGTCTTACATCTTCCAGTAGTTCTTTCACTGGTACCAGCAGTTCATTCAGCACATCATGTTCAATTGCAGCCTTGCAAATAGGGCATTGAGAGAACCCAAAAGTAATTCTTGGCCCAGGCCAACGTGTGCGCAAAACATTCTGACAGCAGTGTAAGTGAAAGACATGCCCACAAGAAAGCTAGAAAAAACATAAGAGAATAAAATAATTAGAAATTGAAAAGTCTTACAGCAAACAAAAATGAAATTTAGACTGCATATCATCATACAAACCTGAATTGCTGGAGCACATGAAAGAGCTTCAGTGAAGCAAATCATGCACATATCATCTGCATCTTGCTTCAAGTTTGGATTCCCTGAGCAACCATGTAAGCAAGGTAGACATGTTGTTTCACCCACAATTCCTCCACACACATGCCCACAAGCATTGTGTTTTGTGCATGCATTTTTGGCATGTTCCTAAAAAAGGGAATCACATAAAATATTTGTCAATTAGCTGAATTTAAAAAAAGAAAACAAAAACATATATTGCATTTGACCTCTATCTTTTACCTGACATTCTTGGTCGGCACAAACATTGCTGATGGCTAGTAATCCTGAGTTGCTTGTGGTTCCACAGAATCGACATGTGCCTGAGCTGAAGTTTGTTGACTTTCCTGATCTGCGCTCTCTAAACTCAACCATTGCCTTCAGTGTGCTACTATCTGCTAGGGCCATTACCCAGAACAGTTTAGTGCGACCACAACCTTCATGAAGGTCTACTTTAATTGCCTCTTCTTCCTCTTTGCAAACCTGTCAAAAAATTAGAAATAAATACGGTTTGGCTGTTTTTTTTTTAAATGCATTGATTAGTTTTGAGAAATGATACCTGTCTCTGATGCATTCGAGTGCGTCTATGTAAGTGCAAGAACCGATCGCACTCAGCACATAAATTGCCGCAGACACTGCATTGGATGATTGCTCCTGTCTCCCCATCGTCATGGTTGCTGCAAGTTGGCTGTAAGAGTAAAAAGAAATTTAAAGGAAATCTCCTTTTAAAATAGGATGAAGCATTACATCATAGGTAGAAACTTACTCGAGGTGGTGGAGGCTGTCCTTCTGCAGTTCCGCGCCATTCTCCTGATGATAATCTCTCAACATGGTCACTGTCTAGCACGCACAGGGCAGCCAATGCAAGCCACAAAGTTGGTGTACGGAGACACTCATTAGGATTCCGTTCTGTCTCACCCAGTCGAGTCAAATTTAGAATGCTCTCGGCAATTGCTCCTTTGGTAACTTCAGCCCAGGCATCAGAAATTTTGCCCTGAGGAGAGATACAATACAAAAATGAATAAACTTGCTACCGGCTTACTAAAAAACACCCACTCAATAAACAAGGCTTACCGCAGCCATGTCCTTCAGGAGCTGGATAATCACTTCGGCCAGTTTGCGAGTCATGCATCCTCTCAGCCACCAACGTGCACCCACAAAATCACGAGGATGAATGGATGTTGCCAGGGTGACTGTGGTAAGACCTTTGCCACCACCAGTACCTGAAGCTGCAGCCTCTTTACCTTTCACTTTGACCTGGACAGTCAGAGCCTTTGCTATACAGCTAAGGAGCACATCCAAAATACTTATCCTATGGGAAAAAGATTATTCAAAAATAATTTAAATATTTTTTTTACCACAGAAATAAAGAAAATATTTGAAAAATCTTTACTTGTGAACATCAAAGGTAGATTCAGACTGCGATAGAGCCTTGTTGGCAACTGTGACAATGCTGAAGTCGGCAGGCGGAAGGTGATCAATGTTCATGATGCAGCCCAATGTCTGAGGGGCAACTTCTGGGAGCATTCTGCGTAGCAGTGATGTAACCTAAAATAATTGTTGATGAGATTTTATTGTTTGAAATAATTTATTTGAAAGAAATTATTTTTTTTTGGCAAAGTTGTAATTGATTGACTGTTACCTGTCTTTGGACTCTAGCTGATCCCGTGTGCAAGAGGCTCAATACATCCCTGAGGAGGCCATGTTGTTGGGCCAGGTATGCTTTGCCTACACTTGACCCTGACAAAGCAAGAACCATTGACAACATCTCAAAGCAGTATGCATCTGCTTGCTTCATTAAATCTCCATTGTTAAAGCTAGAACTGAGCCCAGCGGTTGGTGCACTCGGTGGTGAACACAAAAGCACTTCCCACTCCTCCCTCACATGTGTAGCTTCTTTACGGATGGCCTGAACAATGTGGATGACAACTTGCTTTTGTAAGTGAGTTAGCTTGCTTCGGCTAAAGAGTATTCCAACCATGTGCTCCCTCAAATCATTGTTTTCTTCAATTTCTCTCTGACTTAGGTCACCAATCTCTGTGACTAAGACCCCTTGCTGAGAATCAGAGTCATTGTTCTGCTGATGTTGCTGTAGCAATTTTCCAAATACTTGGCCAGTAATAAGACGGAAAACTCGGAGGGTTTCGGCTTCACAATTTCGCTGCTGTATAGTTAGGGCACTCTGCTGCCGACTAATTCTTGTGCTTTCACCTTCAATCTCACCCAAAATTCTAATCTGACGCAGCCTCAATGAATTGTCAGGTCCTTTCAGTTCCAAACGAATCACAGAATGGTTGGAATCTATTCAAGAAACAAAGAAAGAAAATATCAATTTCTGTATTTAACAATAAAATACAGAAAGTAAGTAGAACATCAACTTCCTTACCAAGTATTGGACAGCGTATCCAACCAGTTGACCGGTTTTCCACCTCTGTTTGCTGTATAAAGTACAATTCATCAACGGCTTGTCCAGACAGTAGGATAACACTTGAGACCTTGTTCTGTAACACAGAAATTAAGACCATTATTCATAAGCATCTCATAAATAAATTAAATCTGCTGATAAAGTACTTACTGCAAGATCTCGACAGTTATCTATGTGGATGTATACCATCCGAGGAGATGCACGGCTTTCACAAGTCATAGTTATAATCTTTGTTTTGTTTCTAAAACAGAAATTTTCATTTCAAAAATAAAAAATTATGGTCAAACTAAATTATTAGTATTCTCAATGAAGATAAAGTGTTTTACATACCTGTCTTCATCACCTGATTCCCAAAATGTTTCAGTTGAGTTATCAGTCAAGCTTACAACCATTGCTTGTCGGCTTGATGCTTTAATATCAACATCTGAAGTGAGGTCCTTCAGGGTCTCAACACAACTAGGTACCTAAAAACAATTATCAAAATATTAGTAAATAAAATAAAATAAAGGTTCTAAATTTTTTAAAAAAGAAAAATGATACCTGAGACATGCTAGACAGGTGGCTTTCATGCATGCTGAGACTGAGATCATCCTGCTCCTCTTCTGAATGTGATAATATTTTACTTATGTTACTGAATACTTGGCACCTAAATTACACAAGAAATGTTAGTTTTTAAAAAATTATTAGTCCATAAGATTATTTTTCTTACGATGGTTTGATGGCATACCTATGGAGGAACATGTGATCCTGAGGGGTAAATCGCAAGCCATAGCACTGCACCGCAATTTGCTGCAGAGCAGATCCAGGAGGAAGGAGAAGCATGAGATCCGCTACACTTTGAAGAAGCGAATGGAATGTTGAGGGCAATGGGTGCACCGCTTCTCCTGCTATGCTGATGTCACTCAGAGGGTGCTCACAAACAGAGCGCATATCCTGGTGAAAAGAAGAAAAAGAATGTTATGACTTAAAGCATTAAATATTTTTCTGGTGAAAAAAGAATGAATGTACTTACCAAATCATCTTTACGGTCCCCACGAGTGTCTTCAGGCTCCTGCTCCGAGTCTTGGCAAGATGATGTGAGAGCAGCCACAAGCCACCACAGCAAGTCATGAAGGCTACCTGGCTGGGTCACATTGTGCAGCAGCCAATTGAGAGCCTGCATTGCAAAGACTCGACAGGTTGCTTTGCGGAGGGCTTGTTTCATAGTGTATTGGAGGCTTTCCAAATTGTGTTGTTGAAACAAGAAAGTCATGACTGGACGGCTCAAAATGTCCCCTCCTGGAGAACCTGCACTGGTTGACACAATGGCTGAGCGATCCATGTTGGGGACAAGCTTCTGCAAGGCTGCTGATGGGTAGCACAATAGGTATGAGCCACCATCCCCTGACACTTCACTGCTGCTGTTGTTTCGACGCCTCATCATGACAACACGACCATCCCCCTCTCGTCTGCTCCAGGAAGCCCCATTGGTGCCCATTGACACAGAGCGGTGGAAACCTCCCCGACCTCGACTTCCATCGGCGTCAAGGTCACTGTAAAACTCCGAGACAGGCTAAAAGTAAAGGTATCACAGCATTAAAAAATGTTTATGAGGAAAGTTAAATAATTTATGTAATAGAATAATTTTCTGAACACACCCTCACTCCACGTGGTGCATGACCATTGCCATTGTGTTCCTCATCAACACTCTGGTTTGTGTAAGATGAGAACCCTGGGAAACCCAAATGTGCTGAGTCTTCCCGAAGCTGTGACGGGTTGGCTCCAAGAGCTGACAGGCACTGGAATGGTCCGACAGGAGTAAAGGGACCGGATGCCTCCTGTGGGCTATGGTGCTCAGCCACTGGTGGCATGCTTGGAGACGGCCTCCTCTTTAAATGTAAAGAAAAGACATAAGATATTAGGTTTAAAAAAATTGCAATACTGTCTTTAATTAATTAAAATTTAAAAAAGATATTTACGTCTAGGTGTAAACCAGATCCAGCTGCACTGGCCAACTCAAGAAGGAACATAGCGTTATTTTTCATGATAATGTGAACATCTTGTGGTGGCAGGGCTCCACATGGAGATAGTAACTTGCAAGGAGTTCCAGGGCCTGAATAAACGCTCCTCTTTCTCAAAGGGATTCCAGACTTCTTTGGACCTCCAGGCTGCCCTTGCCCACCAGATGTCTTTTTTGAGCGCAGATAACGATCCCTGAAAATTAAAATAAATAAATTTCTGTGCCCTTTAAATAGAAAAAGATTTTTTTTTTAAATTGATGCGCACCTGCAAGCGTCACACACGAGGTACCACGAGCTTCCACCAATACCTCCATCTCCACAATTTCCAGCCCATCCGACACAAAAGTTTCCTCCACTGTTGTACCCTTTCCCTCCAGCATGTGCACCACAACCAGGATGGGCCACCCGCATGTGGTATGTGACAGGATGGGGATAGCAGTTACCACAAAGCTCACATACAGTTTCGTTCTCCAGTGGCGGAGCAGCTGCTGAGTTTGAGCCAGCTATACCAGCATTTGTTCCACTGACAAATCGCCATTCTTTTTTCTTGCGGCTTGATTTTTTTAAGTCTTTGTTTTCCTGAAAATTAAAATTAAAATTCAGTTTTGTTGTTGTGCTTGCAATTTAAAAAAATATTTTGGAATAAACTTGTTCTTACTTTATTAGCATCTTGGTCTTTGAAGGACACGACCTTCTCTTTTTGTTTCAGGCGATGCAGAGGTCGTGTTTGTGAGGCAGGGGTTGGATTGGGACTAAGAAGAGCAGTATGGTTGTTGATAGCATGAAGACAACTGCTGCTCAGTTGCTCCCACAGAATAACTAGAGCCTTCAGAGCAGGTGGCAAAACAGCAACAGTTTGTATTGGCAACGCTGCAGCAGCCCTTGGGGTATCTCCTGCAGCAGAACATGATGGTGCTGAACGTTGAAGAGGTATGCCATCTATGGTGCCTGGAAGTAATATATCATTCATTAAAATTTTATTTTAAAGTTTTATCACATTTTGAGTTGAATTTTAGGTTTTAATACCTGATATTCCAATTTCCTCTCGAATGATAGCTTCAGCCTGTGTTTGCGGCTTCTTAGTACGACTGCGGTTTGCATTGGCATTGGCAGCAGAGCGAGTGAGAGATTCCAGAGTTGCAGGTTGGATATGTAAGTAGCTCCCTGCATTAGTTACCTAAAAATGGATGATAAAATTAAAGTGAAATCCACAAAATCTGATATATCAAATTTTCTGGAGGCTTCGAGGTCTCAGATGTCAACTCGTGAATTTTCAATAATGGAAAAGCACATCACATGTCGTATATTTACCTCAACTGAATGACGCTGTCTGACTTTATCTCCCTGTTTGCTGGTGACAGGTTGTGGCCTTGTTACCACCACTGCTCCTTGCTTTGGCAAATTCGGGTGGAACTTGAGGAAGGAAGCACATGCCATGGCATCGTGTACAATACCTTCATGCCACAAGAAGCTCGCAAACACAGCTCGTAAGCTTTCAGCTACTGAGGGACTTACGGCTTCTTTGATGGGTTCTAGAAGAGAAAGCAGTTTCCTTAAAAAAGTTCTGGCATAATATAGACCACTTTGAAGGAGTGAAACTCACGTGGTATAATTCGTTCTCGAGCACTGGGCACAGGTGCAGGTGATGGGGACACAGCCCGCTTACCAGCACGACCTTTAAGGTTTCTGTCCCCTTTCCGACCTAGTTTTGGGGATAGACGTACTTCTTCTTTAGTGCTGTGGGCAGTGCCCATACTGAAACGGCCTTTGACAGTAGTTGTTCCCTCTGGGCTGGTCTGCGTTCCAGCTTGGGTGACTGACTTGCTGCTGGAGTCTGAGGATTCCTGTTCAACTTGGCGTACAGATGTCACACCTGTTGAAGAACCTTGCCCTTTGGTTGAGCCCTCCGACTGCATGCTACAGCTCGAGCTTGCACTAGGGCCTGGTGACAGGTCACGAGTATTGCCAGGACTAGCCGAAGAAGGATCTCTCGTCAGGCTGCTAATCAGTGCACTTGTGTCACTTTGAGTGGAGCCTCTTCTCTGAGATGAGTATTCAGCAATCGCACCTGAAACTGCATAAATATTATTAATGGATGAAAATTTTGTCTTTTCTATTTTATACAAACTAATTTTGGGCAGTGTGAAAATTACCGAGTGGCGAGACACCGAGACTGAGACCTGATCCTGCCCCTTGAGGGCTTGAATTTGAACTCTGACTATCGCGGAGCAGGCCAGGCACAGCACGTCCTAGCCCAATACAAAGCCAAAGTGAAAACCACATTTTGATTTTCTCCCCCAAGCAAATTATGTTTCTTTTTCAAGTGCTTACCTGGAATGGATACAGGGCTTGAAGAGGAACTTGCTCGCTGCACTGAGGGCACGAGAGGAACCTTTGGACTGGAGCTGCGAGACATTCTTTTGGGAGTGCTTGGTGGTGTTGATGCTGCATTCCCATTAGTTGAACTTTCTCCTATAGCTTTGACTAAATCCTTTACTGAAACTCCTACCAACTCTGGAGGCATGTCACTTCTAGAAATAAAATATATATTTTTTTAAAAATCACTTGAACATTAATCTTGAAAGAAATGAAAATAGGCACAGATAATTTTGACGTACTTGGGAGGAGCAGAAGGGCGTTCGGAAATATTTGAAAACGCACCAAACGTCCGTTCGGGCGTTCAGGGCGTTCAGGGCGTTCTGGACGGTCGGGGCGTACTGGGCGTTCAGGGCGCTCTGGACGTTCGGGAAGGTCTGGTTTCTTGCCGTCATCACCTTTCAACCATCTTTGCAAAGAAGCAAATTTGCCTCCATCTGTGCTCAGGCGCCTGTCTCTCACATTTTCATTTTCCCCTTCATCATGAGGTGCCTTGAAGGTTGAATGACGTCTTTCTATATTCGATGAAGCCTTTGGAAAAGCTGAACAAAATAGAAAATACCAGTTAGTATTTTTTAAGCGCAAAGTGCTTGGGTTTAAAAGTGCAGAACTAGAATTTTAGATACCTCTTGGAGCTGGCACTGGAGGGACATTAGGTGAATTTGAGCTCTGGGGCCCAAAAAAGAAAGTGTTTGGAGGTATATTAGCAGGCTGAGGATCATCCCAAAAACTTTTGGGTGCTGGCTTTGTTGGACTTTCAGGAGGTGAAGTGGATTGAAATTTGAATGGGGCTGGGCTAGGTTCTGTCTCTGACATTCCAAAAGCCCCAAGTTGATGTGGGGAAGTATTCAAAAAATCAAAGCCTTTCCTGGGTGATGCCCCAAACACATTGTCTTGAGGACCGACGTCACTGCATAACTCTGAAAATGAATTAAAAATAAAATAATTAAATTTTGACTGTTGACTTTGTTACTGGTAATCAATGATTTTACAAATAACAATTTTAATACCTTTAAACAATTCCTCCTCAGCTTGCAGATAAACTGCTCCGTTTCTTCCATTTGCCAGGGACCAAGCTTCTCCTTCAGAATTGAAACAAAATTTGGACGTTGAATTTTTGTCCAGTTGAACCCAGGTGCCTTCAAGGGTAATCACATGATCAATAATATCAATGGTGTTTCCAAGCACAAGCATGCCCACTGGAGGTGCCTTCAAGTTTGGTCGACTCCGCACATTATGTCCAGAGGCTCCACATTTTACTACATGGTATGTTGCTGGATAACCAACACAGATAGACTTGGCCCGACTGAAAAAACAAATCAGGAATTTTTAGTACAGCATCATAAAAAATATATATGATATAAAAAGTTTACCCTTACCCATCTTTTGATTGAACATCAGGCACCCTTCTAATGATGGCATCCTTCTGCACTTGTTCATTTATAGTCTTGGGTTCCTCAACAGGCAACAAGAGAGTTTTTCCTAGGTGCTGATTATATTGAAGGCACCATGCCTCCTGGGCTGTGACTCGATGAGGAGGTGTGTCATTTGAAAGATCCAAAGCCTGTCCACCTCCTCCCCAGTTGCCACCTGATCCACTACCACAATATTTTCTAATTGTCTCGACATTTAGACGAAGCCAGACTCCATCGTCATTGTGAATCTATAGAGAGGAAGAAAAAAATAAATTGATGAAAAGTCCAGATCTCAACTTCCAAAAACAAAACAAAAATTATTTCAATTTTGCACCTCATCAATGAAAGAGATTGTGCCATTGACTGGCACTACTCCAATCTGTTCACTTTGCAGGGAAGGGTGAGCTCTTATGCGAAGTCCAGCACTTTTCTTGGCTACAAATTTACGGAGCCTGCTTGGCTGGTTGGGCTGTTTACGGACAGTACTTTGTTTCGGTGGAATGAGGCCTTGAGGGGTTTCCTTGACTTCCACCTTGTGCATCTGGAAGGTAATATTAAAATAAATCAGCGTTAACGCTGTCCTACCATAAATGTATTTTTCCCATTTGTAAAAAAAATACCTCATCCATCACATAGCCATCAATGGTGATAACCAGGGAATACCAGCCCACACTGGCTGGTGTCCAGGTGACACTGTAAGTCCCGTTGCCATGGGGACGCACCAGCATGGTCTCGCTGGACCGTTTCACAGCAGGGGAGATGAACCTCAGCTCCTCGAAGGAATAGTTCTCATACGCCTGCGAAACAGAAAGACAAAGGCAGAGTTACTACGGTGTTATTATCTCAAGCGCGTAGGAGAAAAGTCAACTGAAGCAGTCGCTTGCCTTCATCATGGTGATGGCGTGGCAGTAGGTCTTGTCCTTGATGGTGATCTCGTAGGGGGCGTCCAGGGAGGGGTAGGCGTGGCCGCCGAACGTGTTCTCGTCGGGCTCGCTCACGCGCCGAATCTTCCTGGTGTACTCCTCGCCGGCGTCCCTCTTGTCGATGGGGAGGGCCTTGGCGTCGACCTTGAGGTAGGGCACGTGCACGACGTCGCCGTACTGGTCGCGGGTGACGACGGTGAGCACGGCGGGCCAGCCCTGGCGCAGGTCCTCGCGCACGTACACGAGCGAGCACCGCGCCGTGTCCACGAACGAGTCCGGCTGCAGCCAGCGCGCCAGGCGGCCGCCGCTGGTCCCGGACACGCACTGCACGATGTCGCGCAGGAACTGGCGCTCGTTGGAGTGGCAGCTGCAACAGCACAAGCAGGAGGGCGTCAGCGTCTCGGACAGGATTACAGTGTGAGTGAGCACGGGACGCCTGCGACTCAGGCAGCCCACCCGACGCCAGGGCAGAGCTGCCGCCGGTGAGGTAGGCATCCCATCTGCCAGCACCGGTAACTAAGGTGACGGCGACTCCGGTTCGAATACCGGCGTCACAGTTTTTTCCTCGTCCTTGACGTTGCCGGACGATCGGACGGTACGTATCCGGGCTCGGGCTCGGGCGGTCTGGGGGTGGGGAGGGGGAGGGGTTTCCGGCACGGCAGTCGGACTGTCGGACTCGAACGGAAATGCACCATAACCAAGCAGCACCAGCGCGAGGGTGGCGGGCTGCAGCGGGCTGGCTGGACGGGAAATTACAGAGGATTGTAACTAATTGGGTAATAGACAGGAGTGCCGCAGTAGGCCCCCTGCACCGGCCGCCGGGCCCGGCTCGAGGCAGCACCAGGCAGTGCTCCAGGCAGCCTCCCCTGGACCCTGGCCGGTCGGGCACATCGCGCCAGAGTGCTAATGCGCGAGTACACTGTTCGGATTATTCGAGTGGACGCATTCCTGGCGGAATGCCGCACCGAACGGCACTCCAGCGACTTGAACGCACAAGGGGGCCTGGCGGCGGCGACCGCGAGTCCGCGTCCGGGCCTTCCAAGGACGCCGCGAACGCGAACGCCTACTGACCCAGCAGCGCCCAGCCCTTGCCGCCCAGCACTCCACAACCTGGCCGCGGCGAAGCACGACGCCCTGTGCGACGTCCTGGGTCCTGGACGCACACGTCGAACTGGTGGCGGGAGTCACGACCGACGGCGTCGTCGACCTCAAGAAGATGCTGGGGGTGTTTGGGTCGGGTGGGATCGGAGAAGAAAGAACCACTCCCCCCCTTCCACGGTTAGACGCAGCCGTCCCCTCCCCCTCCGAATCCTCGGCCAGGATCACACAGGGACCGCCAGGCCGCCAGCCTCGGCCGCCCGGCTGGCTGGCTGGCGGCTGGCTGCCAGCTCGCGGTGCCCGCGGTGCCAGCTGAGCCCGGCGTGGGCTGCCTGCCTGCCTGCCCGCCAGCGCGCCAGTCAGTCAGTCTCTACCCGGCGGGCGCGGCGAGCACGACGGCCACCCGTTCCGTCGACGGCGAGCCGGCCGGAGGGCGTAAGCCGAGTTACGAACCGATATTCCGAAACGACCTGACGCGAGTGTGTGCGCGCGCGTCGCGTGTGTGTGGGTGTCAGTGTAGTGGTGCAGTGTAAGTGTATGTGTCCGCGCTCAGCCCCTTCATGTGCGCCGTGGCGGCGCCAGGATGCGACCGCCGCGTCCCGACGTGCACGTCATGAGCGTCTCCCCGTCGACGGCGCCCCCCTGCCGCGATGACGCCCCTGTCGGCCAGCGTGCGCAGCATGCGCTGCGCCCTGGTGCTGGCCGTGCTGACCGTGCTGGCCGCGCCCGCGCGCCCCCACGATGACGGCGTGGCCGCGAGCCCGCCGCTGTGCGAGCGCCCCGAATGCACCTGCCAAGAGGACGCGGCCCCCGCGCACCACGCCCCCGGGGCCCCCGGGCTGCGCGTGGCGTGCGACTTCGGCAACGGGGGGTCAAGCCACCACCTCGGCCCAGGTGAGTCCGTCATTCGTCCCCGGCGACGCCCCGGGCGCACCCCTTCCCCCTTCAACAGGTCGCCGTCGCAACACGACACCGCTGGAGGCGTGCTGCTGGAGCGGCTGGAGTGGCGCATTGACGACCTGTCAGTTTAGCGCGGCAGTTACCTGCCCGTCATTTTCCTGTCCCCGCCAAGTGAATGCCGCAGGCTTCTTGCCTAATTTTTTTGTGTGAGCGTGTATTTCCGGCCGCCCCCACAGTTCGCGGCCCGGCCAACAGGCCAGCAGGCCAACCGTACCGACGCGTCCATCCGTCTGTCCGTCCGTCCGGCCGTCCGCGGCCGCGGAGCGCACCCATGTCCTGCCGGCAGTGCGTGGGGCCGGCGGGCCGGCCAGAGCAGTGCCCGCGTCGCTGTCCCTCTCGCACCCACCAGAGTGCACCAGAGTGCGAGAGGGACAGAGTGACACTGTTCAGAAGCAGCCCGCTGGCTAACGCTGGCTAACCCTTGCTTCCGTTCGGGCCAGACCGCGGGGCCGCGCCGGGTCAGCCAACAGCTGTACAATCCGTGTCAAAAATCCGTTGCTCCGCCACTGACGGCGGTCGGCCGCGAAAGGGCGAGCACTGAGCACGCCGAGGACGTCAAGCAGCACGTCAGGACGGATTTGGTTCGCCCGTTGCCCTCGCCGCGCCGCACAACAAGAAGCAGTGCCGTAACAAGGACGCGCGTTATTTCGGAAGCCTGCCTCGGAGGGTTCGACGACGAGGGAGACGGCGACACAAAGCCGCTGCTGCAGGGGGCGAAGCGGCACACTGATTCCGAGAGTCGTTTTCGTCGCTCTGTCTCTCTCGCACTCCAAGGATGTCCCGCATAGGTGCGAGAGAGACAGAGCGACGAAAACGACTCTCGGAATCAGTGTGCAGGCGAAGCAGGCCGCCGCGGAGCTCCCTGTCGAGGTGGCTCTGCCGCGCTGCCTCTGCCTTCGACTTCCCACGAGGCCGGAAACGGCCGGGGCGGGGGTGGGGGTGGGGCGGGGGTGGAGCGAGTCGGCACCTGTTTGGCCCTGCACTGGCTTCTTCCCACCACCCTCCTCCCCTCCACCCCAGGGACCCCCCGCCCCCACCCCGCCCCCTTTCCGAGGAAGGCCACTCGACACGCATCCCTCTGCCGTATGGGTCCCACGGGGGCGGCGGGGGCGGCGCGGTGCGCTGCTGCTGCAGCGTGCTGTGAGCTGGATGAGGCACTAGTTGCGCAGTGCAGCGTGCAGCAGGCTGGAAATGGAAACACGAATCGCGGCCAATCAGCACCTGCCGCCCATTGAGCCTGGCCAATCACTGCGCAGCCATTCGGCCGACGCGTCGGGCATTGTTTCATTTCGAAAGCCTTTTGATGAACGGCCGAGTGGCGCAAGGGCGACGGGGCGACACTTTCTATTGTCAGTTTGTCTGTCAGCCGGCGGCTGGTGCCACTGCCTGCGCCTCACGTCGCGACGGGCACGGCGTCAACGGCGTCGTCAGGGAGTCGGGTCAGGCCCGATCCTACTTCGATTCCGGGGCCGCGCCCTGCCTGCGGGGTCGTCTCTCTCGCACTCGCGGGGCGCCCCGGGTGGGTGCGAGAGAGACGGAGCGACTGGCAGCCGCCGGCTGGAACAATGGGTGGATGGGCTGAGCAGGGCCAAGTGCACCGCGGGGCCGCCGGCCCTGTCTTGGCCCTGCCTCGGCCGCCCGATCCGTTTGGTTCTATTCTGGACGCACGGGGCGGGGCGCTAGGGCGGGGAATGTGGGGCCGAGGGCGTGGTGGCCGTCTAGGCCGAGGCGGCGTTCGGGGCGTTCCGGACGAGCGCGGCTAAAGAGCCGCCGCCAAAGCAAGGACGGCACGACACGCGAATCGCGCCACGGCCCCGCGGAGGGCCTTTCGAAACGAGTGCTTTGATTCCTTGTAGGGACGCCGACGACGCGACGCCGTGGCGGCGGGGCGAGGCGGTGCCCCAGCTGCTGTAGCAGCCCGCGCCGCGCCGCGCCCACCTCGTGGCCCCGCCATGGCCAGGCAGGCCAGGCCCACGGGGCTGCTGAACCCACCGAAAAGCCTCCCTGGAGTGGGATCGCCGCTCTTCGAGGTGTGTGTGTGTGTGTGTGCGTGTTGTTGGAGGGATCATGGAAGTTGGCCGGCCGATGCGCGGCGGCTCTCGCTGCTCGCAGTGCCGCTGATCGGTTGGCCGATATGTTATCGTGGAGCCCCGGCTCGGCGGGCTCGGCTGGGGTCCGAGTGGAGGGCCTGGAGCACACACACACACACGCACACACACACACGCCGCACTCGAATCTGTTCAGGTTAGGGGTGGTAAACAGCACATATCCCCCGGGCCGCCACGCCGCCACGGGCCCGCTGAAGGCCGAAGGCACCGAAGGGGGTGGCCGCCGGCCCGGCCGGGGCCAAAGTTGGGCCGCTCGCGCGCGGGCTGTGGCGTGATAGGGGAAGCGGCAGTTTGGCTCGAGTTCGAGGCCCGAGGGCCACTTGAGGGCGCGAGCGGCGCGGGGCGCGCCAAAATTCAAAAGCAGCGACGCGCGGGGCGGGGCGGCAGCGAACTGCCAGTCCGGCTGTTTACCAGCGAGTGTCTGCCAATACACTACACACCGCAGCCTCCCTGCCTTCCAGCCTCGCTGCTGCTAATTGCGGGGCAATCTTCGCGCGCCGTCCGACGTATAAGGAAGAAGACCAAACGCGGGAAAAAGACGGCGTAAAAACTAAGGCGAGGGGGAAAACAACAACGAAAGCAAGAACCAAGCAGGCAAATTGGCTACCTGGGCGTACTGCAGTACTGCACCAGACTTCACTGCATCGCACGCGGGCAGTGCAGCGGAATGAAGCGACAAATAAGGATGGCTCGGTCGCGGTTGCGGGAACGGATAACCGCCGCCACTCTCATTTTTAAAGTGCGCCGCGCGCGCGCGTGTGTGTGCGAGTGTGTGTGAGGGCTTGCGTCTGTGTGAGGATGCAACACCATTGATGACCCAACGACTGGCGAGGCACGGTGGGAACCTCCGCGCCGTGCGGTCGGCCGGTCGGGCGGCCGGTTGAAGCCCACCGTGTGTCATTTCGTTGTTGTGCTGCACTCCTGCGCTTCGACGGGAGGCACTCGAGCTTGCCGCGCCGCCGCACGACGCCGGATTCCCGACCTGTCTGTCCGTCTCTCTCGCACTCGCGGGGCGTGCCGGCGCGCCGCGCGGGTGCGAGAGAGACGGCAAGTAAATGACGCTGCAACTTAATTGCAGCGGCAGCGCTGCGGGCGCGGCATGACGCTCTGTTGTCACGTGACGCGGCGGTGGGAAAGACTAGTCACGCGTTTCCAGGCGAGCGACTCGCGCTGTCTCTGTCGCACTCACGTGGCGTCCCGC